GTGTGTGTGTGTGTGTGTGTGTGTGTGTGTGTGTGTGTGTAAAGCTGAGTGTTCCTTCTGGGATGGTTTGATTGATGTATACACTAGAAACATCTTTAATAATTTAATGTCTGCTTCAAAGGCGTTTACACCAAAAAAAGCACATTGCTTTTCACTTATTCATTACAGATCTGTCACAGCAGAGGTTTGATGTGTGTGTGTGTGTGTGTGTGTGTGTGTGTGTGTGTGTGTGTGTGTGTGTTTCCCTGAATGGCAGAGCCATGGTAATAGTAAGTTTTATTCCAGACTCGGGGTATTTTAAAGGATTATAAGCCTTTTAACTAATGTTACCATCTTATTTAAATTGATCAAATTGCTATTTCAGTATCAAAATCCTGCGTCTTTTTAAGTTGTGCTTGGCAGCTGTGGCTTTATTTGATGACTACTAAGTAGCCATGCTGGGGAAGTCTAATTGAAATGATGAGATGAGAGCATAATGCTGATGGCTAGTGATGGTGATAATGGCAGGGAACCAGAGTGAAATTTGGAACTAGATGCTAAGAGATTAGGGAACACACCAGTCCTCTGTAAAGAGGAAAAATTAAAAGTTTGAGAATTGGTCAGAGAAAGAGGTTAAGACTAAGGGGAGGAAAAATGAGAATATAAAATCTAAAAACAAGGAAACATGTTCTCATTTACAATTAGTTATAAATCCAGATGTCAGGAAAATAGATTTTTCCACTTACTTGTAATCATCTTAATAGACTTTAACAATCACTCAGAAAAGAGAGGACTGTATTTACATCCCTAAACAATTAAGTTATAAGCTTTTTCTTTATTTTTATGAATATATTATCTAGACACTCCCTTCCCCATGTAAGGCGGGGGGGGGGGATTGTTCTGAGGCCCCAAGGCCAGGAAGTTGCCCATAGGGAAGAAATGATAGAGAGCTATCTTTGACCTTAGGGGGGTGGGGCTGTTGATGCAGTGAGGCTTGTAAGATAGTAAGATGTTCCAGCCAAAGCAATCTCACAAGCAGTGCACTCAAATAGCTTCTAAGCCACTGATGTGCAATTACTGCATTGCCTGAGAAAATCTGCAAGATACAGCTCTTTTCAGTTGTGAGCACTGTAGTGTTTCTGTCCAGTACTTCTTACAAAACTCTGCCCAACAGTCCTTACAATGTCCACCCCTGGATCATGCCAGGGGACTCTAGAAAAGGCACAGAAATGTTTGGTTTTTAGGCTGCAAATTCTTTAAACAGTGTAATCAGTGAGGCATGGTGCAGATGTCAGTTTCCTTGGCCACTAAAAGCACACATGAGTGTCTTCCTGGTGGAATTAAAGTGAGGGATACAGCCTTGTAGCTAGAGTTTTCCTGCCTTGCCCACAGTCAGGACAAATCTCTGTCTACCGCCAGTCCCCCTGCCTCTCAGACCCAACCAAGTAAACACAGAGACTTATATTGCTTACAAACTGTATGGCCGTGGCAGGCTTCTTGCTAACTGTTCTTATAGCTTAAATTAATCCATAAATTTATACCTTGCCACATGGCTCGTGGCTTACCGGAATCTTCATATGCTGCTGGTCATGGTGGCAGCTGGCAGTGACTCCCTCTGCCTTCCTGTTCTCTCCTTTCTCCTCTCTGTTATTCCCGTCTATACTTCCTGCCTAGCCACTGGCCAATCAGTGTTTTATTTATTGACCAATCAGAGCAATTTGACATACAGACCATCTCACAGCACAGCCTCATTTTGTGATATTTGCTTAAGGTGGGATATCAGGACTTCTGGCCAGACTTTCTGGGCTCAACCCTCACCCAGCTTGGTCTCTTGCTACATGGTGTTGTGGGCACTGAATTGGTCAGTATTTTTCTCACTCATATGATGGTGATGAGAAAAGTACCATGTGGGACTTCTGTGCTGGCTTTTGCATTAGTGAGATCTCTCTGACCCTGTAGATTCTGTTGGAAGGCATTGCTGTATTGTAGAATATTATTTTAAGATGTGTTACATTTGCTTATGCTGTGGTACATTTGTTTTTAATGATGCAAAGATGTGTTACATTCTTTTATGTTGCATTTGTTTAACTCTGTGCAGCTATGTTACTTTGCCTGTCTAAACCACCTGATTGGTCTAATAAAGAGCTGAATGGCCAATAGCAAGGCAGGAGAAAGGATAGGTGGGGCTAGCAGGCAGAGAGAATAAATAGGAGGAGAAATCTGGGAGGAGTGGATCAAAGAATGAGAAAAGGAAGAGAGGGGGATGCCAAGGCCAGCCACCCAGTTGCACAGCCAGACTTGGAATGAAAAGGAAAGAAAAGATATGCAGAAATAGGGAAAGGTAAAAGCCCAGAGGCAAAAGATAGATGGGATAATTTAAATTAAGAAAAGCTGTCTAGAAATAAGCCAAGCTAAGACTGGGCATTCATAAGTAGGAGTAAGCCTCTGTGTATATTTATCTGGTAGCTGGGTGGTGGACCCCCCAAAAGAGCAAAGAGCCAAAAAAGTAAAAAAAAAAAAAAGCAACCAACAACATTGCTGTCTTGAGCCTAAGTGTTCTAAACTGTGAGTGTGGAACACACTTACGATCTTTAGTGTCTTTGAGCCCTGTTTCTAACTTTCATCATGTTTTTCATTATGTACAAGTTTTCCATCTCTTTGATTTATTTTATTTGTAAATATTTTATTCTTTTTAATGCTTCTATATATGGAATTGTTTTTAGTAATTTCCTCTTCAGATTATTGTTAACATATAGAAACAATCATTTTCACATGTAATATATCTTTGTTTGTTTTGTTTATGTTTTCTGAGTCAGATCTTGCTTTGTAGCCCTGGATGGCCTGGAACTTGTCATGTAGGTCAGGCTAGACTGGAACTTTTAGCGATCCTCATGCCTCTACTTCCTGAGTGCTGGGATTATAGATCTGAGCCACCATATTTGAGTCTCTGTTGTGTTTTGATGACAGCGTTGCCTTCTCCTGGCTTCAAAGGTGTGTGCCTCAGTGGCTTACTCTGTTTGTTGTCTTTGGAGAGAGGTGAGCAGAGTGTGTGATGAGGAAATGGCAGCTGCTAGGTCTCCATGGAGACTGGAGTTCTGCTCCTCCTCAGTTACTGAGTCCGCATACTTCCCAACTCCACTTCCTGCCTGGCATTTGCCTCCTGTGGGTTTCCTCCTGGGCAGAGCACTCAAGGTAGTTCATACTGAGTGTTGGTGTTTGACCTGAGCCTTGCTATTGAATCTATATGATGACACATGCTATATTTTTTCCAGTCCCTGAAGAATGCTACATTTTTCTTCATTTTAACTGCACATTTAATGTCATATAGCCAACTTGAAGTAGGAGAATAGACTTTTGATAGGAATTGGGCATCATTAGTAGTATACATGTTTGAGCATAGTTCTGTAGTGTGCAGTGGAGGAACCCTGTCACACTTTTTAACCCATTGTTTCTTTTGCTCTATAAGAGGCCAGCAGAAATAGTTGATGAGGAAGAAGATGGCGAAAAAACAAACAAAGATGCCAAGCAGAAAGAAGACTTCTCAGCAATGAATGGTGACGCTGAAGATGGAGAGGGTAGTGAGGCTGCTGATGCCCCTAAGCGAGAGGAGGAAATCCCAGACCATGGAGAGGAGAAGGCAAGTTCCTCTCGGGTAAACGGTGTCACTGATGAAGAGAATGGTGAGGAACTGGACCAGGTCACTGAGGAGCTTCAACCAGCAGTGGATGAGGAGGGAAAGACTGAAGGAGACAACAGTGGACAAGATGAGGTACTTGTATTATTTTGGCTTGCTTGTGCATAAGTATGTGTGGGCACATGCTTGCACACACATGAACATGCTTAGGAAATTAGCTAAACATTTAGATTCTGCAGTAAAACTCTACTATCTGGTAGAGTAAGAAACACTGAGCTCCATTTAATTTCAATTTTTTACTTATTTCAATCAAATAACAAGTACTGCCACATACATTTGTTTCATGTACTCATCCATCTACCCACTTACCTATCCACTCATCTACCTACCCATCCATCAATCTAGCTATTCACTTAACCACCCATCCACCACTCATCCACTCACCAGGCTAACACCAGGGGAGAATAAACTAGAAAATGGTATCAAGCTCAGTGAGACATTGAACCCATTTAAAGAACATCATGGCCACTAACAGGACTTCTTTGTTCTTTAGATAAGTTAAAGTCTAGTTGTTTCGCCCATGTTAAATAGATTAGTCAAGCATTCAGCATACCGGGTACTGGTTTGTTTCACTGCAGCAAAGCACAAGAAAGTTTAATAGCAGAGTAGTGCAAAGTGTTCTCATGGCCAAGCTTTACCAGTCAGTCCCAAACTACCTGTATTCTACTATGCACTTCTATAAAGCATCTGTAACATGTAAAGGAAAACACTTGGCATATCTCACATTTCCTCTTTATGCAAGGTAAGATTTTTACAGTGTGGCTGTGTAAGACATACAGAACACAATTCCTCATACAGAGCTCAGCATAGTCCTCCTGGCTGTGTATGTAGCAACAATAGTGGGTTTCTCACAGCGCTCTGCTGACGTAGCTTTTGATGAAAGCTTACAACATGAAATCCAAGTGCAGTTCTACCTGGGGCTCAGCAGGAAGCTCCTGGTGTGCAGTCTTCCAGTGGTCTAGCTTAATCCAGTGTGTGACCCAGTCAGATGTCACAAAAATGCATGGTTTGTAAAAATCTTCCTGTAATTTGCAACAACGTGAATAAGGTCAGAGGGCATTATGTTATGTGAAACAAACCCAACACAAATACTGTGTGAGCTCCGGTGTATAAAAAGCTGAATTTATAGAAGCAGAAAGTAGAATGAAGGTTACTGGGGACTGAGGGTTGGGTCTGGGGAGGTGTTGGCCAAAGAACAGAACCTGTCCATTCTGAAGAATAAGTTCTGGAGCTGTGTTGTCCGGCATAGTGACTATCCTAACAATGTGTTCTCATACGAGAGGAGTGTTCCTATTCTTACAGATAGAGAAGGAAACTGTGAGGTAATGCAGATGTTAATGAGTTCAAGTTAGCCATTCCACAATGCACATGTACTTTAGGACATTATATATTATGTCATAAACATATTTTTCAATTAAAATAAATCAATTTAAAGACTAAAGTAAAAAATAGGCTTTTGATAGGAATTGGGCACCACTTAAGTTTAGAGTTATATAACTTGGCAAGGGCCTGAAGCATGAGTGTCTGTGGTATATAATGTCACTGGTGAGCCCAGTTCTTGGGTGCTCAGGTAAGTGGCTCACTGGAGACATTAAGGACCAATCAAATGTCCAAGATGGAGCAGTTACTCACAAGGAGATGGAGTCTTACATGATTGTCCCCTCTTTCAATGATTATATATGTTATCTTCATTTGCCCTCATGCATTAATATGCAGCTACTCCAAGTGTACCAAGTGTATGAAGATCTAAACTTGCATGTACTATAGATTAGAGGTTAACAATGGACTTTTATAAAAGGATTCCTTACTCACAAAAGTTCAGTTTGTCATATGTACCAGTTCTTGTGCAATGTGACAAATAAAAATAGCAAGAAACAGACAACAAATACACAGTAGCAACTGGCACTGTAGGGAGCAGCAGGAAGTAGAGGGCAAATTCACAATAGCAATTGCTATCTACTGAGATTGTGAATTGATACTCTATTATGATAGCATTTGAGATACTTCACAAGGAAACAATGTGAAAGAAAATGCAGACCTGGAAACATACACACATAAACATATAAATATGTATACATGTATATATACACATATAAGCATATACAGGCATATATTCATATATACATATTCACTGACATACATGCTTTTATAGATACATATAAACATTTTACATATACACACATCTGTATACATGCACATATACATACATGCATACATACATATACACATATCTATATATACACATGCACTCATACATATAAACATACATGTATACTTACATGTGTATATATATCAACACATGCATTTCTACATATATATGTACATGCACACACATATACTTGCATATTCACATGCATATATACATATGTACATTCATACATACACACATACATGCATGCATATGTATGCACATACACATATGTATTTCTTTTCTCTTTTTTAGCATAAATCATGCCTGTGGGGTTTAGTGATCTGGAGCTGTTCTTGTCCCTGAGACTGAGGGCCCTTGTGAGGCTGTGAAGCATCCAGAATTTCATGGGCTATAGCTTGAAAACTGGCCAGTTCTCCTCTTACACCTTAGCAGCAGCCTAATGGGTAGATGAATTATAAATGAGATAAATGTCATTGATGACAGGAGATGTACAAGGGACAATGGCTATTCCTGGGGAAAAGCTGCCTCTATGCTTTGTTTATATCCTGCTCTTATCTACTAGACACTGGTCTGGCACTCGGCATCGTGCTATGAATCTGCAGATTTGGGTGGAAGAGGATCATAGGGAGCTCAGTGGGTTAGTGAGACATAGGTGAAGCTGAGATGCTGTTTCTTCTCTCACTTTGGAAATACTTAACCGAAAAGTGTAAATCCACCTTTGAAGAGAAAAACTGAAAGAGACGCAGAGAAAGAGAGAAAATAACCCTGCAGCATAAGAGACGACACTCTGCTTTCATCTCGTCTAGACAGGCTGCCGCAAACCTACTATGCAGTTGAGGGTGGCCTTGATCTCCTGATCTTCTGCCTCTGCCTCTAAAGTGCTGGGATTACGGACATGTGCTGCTACACTCTGATTGTAAAGCACATATTGGTCACATGAGGTGTCAGTCCAAATAAAGGGCTGAAATAGCAAGCTGGGGGAAATGACTGACTAAAAACAAGGGGACCCGAAGGATGGTTTGTAGTGGAATACTTACGTGGTTGAATGGGACATTTAAGTGAACTTTATTATCCTCATAAAACAAAGAGATAATCATCTTTGTTTTGGTCTATTTTTCTTCCAGGCTGACTTAGATGCCCAAAGACCACCAAGACCAGAAGTGACAGTCACCAGTCCTCAAGAAAAGGAAGAGAATGAACAAAACAAGGACTCTTCTGCTGTGGCATAGATGCTTTTAAAGCAGGAACTAGATGGGATGTAAGAGCATGCAGGGATGTAATACTTGAGTAATGAACACAGCATCTCTGTTAGGCAGAATGTGTTAATATGGTGGGACACTACCTGCTGGATTTTAAAAATAGAAGATAAATGGAAGGTTAGGTAATTTGTAGCTCAAAACAGAATGACTTATGTTTATGACAGATGTTTAAAAATTCCTTTAGAAGAATCAAATAAGAGAGACAGAGAGGATATGTACCTTAAGATAGTTGACAACCTGCGTTTGTAAAGGAGAAAGACATGGGCTAGCTCCCATTGGATATATTATTATAGACTTGGAAGCAAGAGTATTGGCAGCTTGTTCTAAAGCATTTATCTAGGAACATATAGACTTTTAAAGAATTGATAATAGGAAAATATGTATTATGTTCTTAAAGCAATAAACTGTTGATTGAACCAATTGCAATTTAGTTTCAGAGATAATTTGGAGATGGCAATAGATCCAAACACTCTGAAGCTGTTGACATTCCTTTCTTCCTCTAGCCAAGGTCCACCTTGGTCAAAGTCCAAACACAGCCCAAGGTGACTCTGGAGGGAGGAAATGCTTCTCCAGGGCACTGGTGATTCACATCAGGTGTGTCTGCTGAGGCACACTCTCAGGCAAGAACCAGAGAGCGCGATACGGAAATCCTGTGATTTTCACTGGTCTAGTCTGTCTGTACCAGGAACAAACTTTCTGTCTCCTATATGCTGCTGGAAACCCAATATTGGTTGCAATTGAATTCTTTCCAGGATTAAAAAAAGAGAACATTTTACTAAACACAAGGGAATAGAATAGGAAGCAACCAGTAGATTCTGGACACCCAATTCCTTCACTTCCTGCTGTGCCTCTGTCAGGATGCCATGGTTGCGTAGGGATATCATGTCCATCCATCCATCCATCCATCCATCCATCCATCCATCCATCCATCCATCCATCCATCCATCCATCCAATCTCCTAACTTATTAGACTTTCAAGCAGATTTTTAGCCCTTTTTTTAGCCTTTCAAGCAGATTCGTTTCTATAAATTTAGATTCCATCTGATGGAATTTGGTGAAAAAAACTTAAAAATTTTCCATAGCTCCTGATTTCAGTTTGTGGATGGACTAAAGTAATGTGCCTTCACCTTGTGAAGAATAGATGGGGAAAAAGATAATTGCATTAGTTTGATGATCATAGCGGAGATGATGCACCTCTTCCCTAAATATAGAAATATTATGTATTTCTCATTTTAAAGAATATGTTTTTACTCATATGGAAAATTTTAACTTCTAGTGCTTTTGTAAGATTCATTACTATTGTAAGTCTAAAAGATTATTTTCCTCTCCAGATTTCACAACCAACCATCTGGGATCAAAATAGTTTCAAGTTATATATACTAAAGTGATATAGAAAATAGATACATTTTCCCTCCAAAGCTATTTTGATTTTTCCGTGAATAGAAAATATGAACAGAGCTTATGATGTCACAGTATTTGAGAGACATTATGACACAAGGCCTGGGAATCTGGGAGGATGGATTTTAACTGGGACACAACCTGGGTTGTGCTTTCTCTGTACAGGCTTACTTTTCCAAATCTGACAATATGAAACACATGGACTGCCAGCAACCATCTTGCCTGCTAGGGAAACAGAGAAGCTGGTCTTCTGATGTGAAATACTAGGGTCTGGGGTTGATGATTCAAATATTTTATAAAAATTGAATATAAGAAATTTTAACTAACTCTCAAACTGATTCTCTTTCTTGCAGTGATGGGCATTTCTCTTTAATGGAGCATCACTTTTTGTTCCCGCCTTTTCTCCATTTCACTGCGATTCTTAGACTCCAGGGTCCCTCTTGACAGCTGCCTTAATGAGGCACAACACTGACATTTTGAATGAGAAATAAACTGAGCTTTTAAGAACATTTCAAGAAGGTTACAGGCATAATAATGGCCACAAAAATGTTGAAATAAATGAGAACATCATCTTCTCCTGTGCATGTATTTTAATACCTGGGACCCAAACATGTGACTCAAATCAAAATCTTCTCTATATGTTGTCTAACAAAACATGGAATCAGTTATCCATTGGGGATTAAAACTGTAGGCATAATTCTGAAGGTGACCTTAACAAAAGTTGCAGGTCCGTACACCTCTCAAAAGCGGCAGTCTCCTCTATGGAAATTGGGTACCTATGATAGGTTAGGTCCACAAGTAAGTGAGACTTACTGACAGAGCATATGAATGAGCTCTTGGTAAAGGGTCATGCATTGTTTATAGAGAAGGCACTTGGATATATATCCAGTGTATTGCTTTGAGGTGTCAGTTCTTTGTAATTTCTTAGTTTTAATTTTATATCATTGCTGCCTTAGCCATATTTCAATTTTAAAGACACTTATGATCACTGGTTTGGTGGTGGAATTGGAACATTGGGAGTTTTGCACTTGACTGGAAGTGACTTTGACATCACCTTCAGGTGAGGGGTCTGTTACACGCTTGGCATCTGTTGAAATCTCTATTGCATGCCCATCAACTTCCTGCTACTATCACTACAGGGCAGCCCCCTCCTCTCTATGTTCTCCTGGGGGTCTTGAGGAGACATGTTATTTAGGATGTTATTCTTGTATTTTATGTTTTAATGTCAGAATGCCAGACTCATGGGAAGAGCATGATATGGTTATGTCTCCAGTTTTATTCTGAAAGGGTTAATTCTTGCTGTGGTGTCTAAAGACATACCATATCATACATATGGCTTAGAATCAGTCACATATCTCTGTGGGTGTGTAGCTGTAACGTGACACTGATATGTTTTATGCTGTCTATCCTAGGGTAGGGCTCAAAACCTGTTAACTACACATGTTTCTCTAGAAGCCTGGGGAAATGGCTCAGCAGCTAAGGTGCTTGCTCCCCTACACTGGCATGCACGTACACAAAGCTCCCCGCCCCCGGACAGCTGAATAAATAAATGTAAATGCATTGTTTTCTTTAGAACACCCTGCCTTATACACAGAGGATGAATTTCACTAATTTAGAGAAGATCAATGTGCTTCAAGCTGAGGCTGCAGTTGGGCCCAAGAGGCTCACACCTGTAATCTCACAGCTTGAGCGGGACGAAGAATCAAGAGTTACAAGTTATCCTTGGCTACAAAGTGTGTTTGGGGCTAACCTTTGCAACTTGAAACCCTGTCTCAAAAACCCACCAACCAACCAACTCACCTAACTACCCATTAAAGCTGAACTTGCCACTGCAGAAAAATCAGAAGGTATATTCATCACATTACCAGAAGGTACATTCAGCATGTTAATCATGTCTTCTTAAGAATCAATTCTGCACTCTTATTGTTGTTGTTAAAGTAGCAAAGTGAAAAGGTAAATGAATCACTGAGTAGAAAGCTCCTCATCTGAACTGGTGCCAATCAGAACAAAACAGAAAACATAATGTAGATGCTGCCTATCAGTACTTCCGCTGGTGCCACCATGCACTTTCAGACATTAGGAAGGGCCTCCTCACTGATGTCCATTTAGCAAGGCTCTCAGGTGGAGAGAAACCATGCTAGCAGTGTGAGAGCGAACATGGAGAGGCCACTGTTATCATGGTGTTTTAATATTGCTTTACTGAGACCAAGAGATGTACTATTCTTCCCAAATAAGAAAGTTACCAGCCTCATTTAAACTAGGCATGGTGGCACATGCCTGTTACTCCAGTGCTCTAGAGGTAGAGGCAGAGGGATCAGAAGTTCTAGGTCATTCTCAGCTACATAGTGAGTCCCAGGCCAGTCAGAGCTGTAAGCGATCTGCCTAAAACGAAAAAGGAAGGGATGCTAAAATTAGTTTTAGTCACATTTTAAAATGAGAGATATGTATTTTGTTGCCTGAATTGATGGCAGACTGCAGTTTGTGCAGCATCATAAAGTAGCATGTATACTATTTTGTGGGCAGGGAGAAAATCCAGGGCTCTTCTTTGTGTCCAGAAACCAGGTACAACATAGTGTGACTGTAATACAGTGTCACCCAGGGGTGGAACCAGTTTCTGAAGGTTAGTCTGTTTTTCTGATCAGAGACCCCTGTACTTTCTTATTACTGAATGTTACGTTCATAAACATCATAAGGTTTTTGCTTTTGAAAAATACCCTAGTACATAGATAAGTCTTTATATATTATAAGTCTTTATGTATTTTATACATAATGGCTTTTGCGTTATATATTTTACCCCATCAAGTCTGAAAGACAGGTAGGGAATAAAAGAATGTCCATGTATGTTGAGGAGGAAATAAATTATTGTTTTTGAAGAGTCATAATGCTGGTGGAAGATCTGGAATTAGGAAATAATTAAAAATAATAACAAAAAAGCACTTATAAAAACCAGAGGGAACTAGTGGGCTCTGGTCATCTGAGCCAATGGCTGTGCTTTGTGAATGGGACCAAATGAATTCTGTGCAGGTTTATCAGCTTGAAATGCATTGTTCAATGGACTGTTTCAGTTTTTGTGAAAAACCAGAGTGATCGTGACCAGCTTCAGAAGACTGCAGAAGGCTCTGTTGTTTTTGTGTCTTCCTTGCTCTGAAATTGCTAACGCGCACGTGGTAATGGGCAGTTTTTAATGCTCTATGTAAAGATAAAGTTAAGCTCATCATTTCTGTAGCCTTTATTATATTTAGTATGTCTTTATGTCAGGAAAAGTATGTGTTTTGATCGAATTATGAGATGTACCTTTCATTTCTGTATCAGAGCACGTTCTAAAATGCTTGTGTACCTTGCCTGTCCTCTGAGTAGATGGGTGTTTTATGTAGTTAACATACATGTTTAGCATTCCCATGTGATATTATGTTGTTAATATTTCATGTGTGGATCACTTTTGTAGCATTTTCCAGGAACACAATAAGTACACAAACTTATGTAGGCATTCAGCTCATTAGAGGATACTTCTGTTTGTATCTGTTTGTATAGCATAGACATTAAGCTCCATCCTGTTATTTTTTTTTAAATTTCATATGCATGTTTATTTGATAAAAATTCAGATCTATTAAAATCGTTACTTCTTTATTTTATGAAATATATTTAGAGATGCACAAGTTCAGAGGTTTTGTGATACTCATGACATGTATTTTGTATACAGACAACCACAGAAATAAATGTATAATTTTACAAAGAGTTTCATTCAAATTCAGTTTGTGGGACTGTTCACTGCTTCCTTTTAAATCGTTTTATTTCCCCCTCCATGATTAAGAAACAGACAGTTAAGCACAAAATCGCCATGATTTGGACCCTGTGACCACGGAGCATGTACTTAAGCACCTCTTGGACACATTAGCTCACCTTGGTCATCCCGCTGGATCAGAACAGCAAGCTCCAGCCGGGAAGCAGGTATCTAAGCTCCAGAGGCAGGCCGCTTTGCAGACATGGTTAGTCAACGTCAGACCCTCCCCCCAGCTGACACCAGTAGTCCCTCCACAAAGCACTGCAACATGGCCTGCGTGCATCTGTTATGTTATACTTGTTTATGAGAATAAACACACAGCCCTCTTGCAGGCTTCTGAGTGGATTTTTTCCCTCCTCTAATGGGGCTTCAGTCTATTAAATTGTTACACAGTCTCTCCAATGCGCTCGTAGTCAAACTCAATCTTCCATTAAGAAGACAAATGACGCAGGAATGCCTGGCACTTCTGGCTGATCTAACGAATTCACTGGTGTGGTAGTAAGAAAAGTGACATGAAAATGCAAGAAAAAAAAAGTGGAACAGTAAGCTTAAAACTAGATGGGGCAATGAACTCTGGTTTCCACTGTTCACTGTTTCATTCATTATTTGTTTATGGGGCTTAATTGTTTTTATGTATGTGTGTCTGTCTGTCTGAGTGTGTGCCACGTAAGTGCAGGGTGGCAAGAAGAAGGTGTCAGATTCCCTGGAGCTGCAGTTACAGGTGGTTGTGAGCTGATGTGCTGGGAACTGAATCTGGATCCTTACTGTGGAGGCATCTTTTCAGCCCTTTTTTTATTGTTGTTGTTGTTTTCATTTGAAACAGGATCTCACTCTGTCCTCAGTGGCCTGAAACTTACTGTGTAGCCCAGGCTGGTTTCACATTCACAACTATTCTCTTGCCTCAGCCTTCCACAATGGGACCACAAGTGTAAGTTACCTTGCTTAGCAATCATTGTTCCTTTAAATTTTTATTTTATTTAAAAAAAATTACCCCTCCCCCATTACCATGGAGGTCAGGAGACAATGTGCAGGAGTTGGGTTTTCCTGTTGCCTTATGGGTTCTGGGTCAGTCAGAGGTCAGTGGCTGCCCTTACTGGCTGAGACTTCTCATTTGTTCCCTCAAGTTGCTCCTTTTGGCTACAGTAAAAGTTAGGATTGTACTGGTTCTCCTAATTCTCTGCTCATTTGCCAAGTTCTCATCTTTTCCTGTGAGTCCCTGAGGTCTCCCTGAGCAGTCTCATTCATACCTTAACAACCCCTAAGGTGCTGTGACGTCCAAACTGATGACTACTAGCCAGGTTTCTCCCGGGGAACTCCAGACCTCAAAGTACAACTTCTGGCTAGGCATCTTGGTTTTTCAAAGTCAAGTGTTCTGTTCTTGGAAGACATGCTTCTACTCCCATGTTGCCAACCCTGGTTCATGGTACCAGATGCTATCTCAGAGGTTAGAGGGTTGTACCATCATGTCCACTTTATACAGTGCTGGGGTTCAAATCCAAGGCTTCCTGCATGTTAGGCAAGCACTCCACCAACTGAGATGTATCTTAGCTCTAATACAGTTTGAAAACATTTTTTCTTTCTTATTTTGGGTACCACTTGTTTTCTGTTTAGTTACTGTCCTCTGTTCTTATCATTAATATTTCCTTTTGTTTCTCTGTTTGCTCTAACTCCTTCAGCTGAACGCCTCACTAATTGCATTTGGCTTCTCCCATTTCTGACATATGCTTTTGAGGTTTTAAATGTACCAGCATGTTTCACACCAGTGAGAACAACAAGTTTTGATATAAAATATTTGTGACTGCAGTTTGACTGTAAACAGTTTTTGTGAATTTCCCTGTTCTTTGACTCATGGCCCAGTGGATGGGTCTGGGAATGCTTGCCCCTTCCAAGTCCCCTTTGATTGACTGGTGTATCCATCCACCTGCTGCTGTGAGCACTGAGTGCTTGGACACCGCTCCTTGGTCAGAGGGACACTATAATGACCAGGAGGTTCAGTCCTGCATTATTGGCTTGCACCTTATGGCTAACTGGCATGGGAAGCAAATGCCTTAGTACCTTGCTTCAGGTGGAACCAACTTGGTGCAGTTTCTGTTCCAAAGCTGCTGATGGGTGCAGGCTGAAGGTACTTTTCAGTTGGGCCATATCCTTGTTTTCCTCAGTCTCTCCACTCCGGCTTCTCTCATACTTCTTAAGAATGCACCTTTATAAATCTATATAAGAACATCCATTTCAGTTCCGCTACTAGAATGCTCAACTTAAAATTGAGGAACCTGAATGCCATGGGCTTTGGAAGTAGATTTTTCAGAGGTGGCTGCTAGAGTTATATAATTCACTGGCTAAACAACAACACTTCATTCTCTGGGGGTATGTGAGGGTTTAAAAGGGTATACAGCCTGTGACTGCAGATTGTCCCCCGTGGTTGACTGTAACGGCATGGCGATGGAAAGGGATGTGTTGTCGTTAGCTGGAGCAGAGTGTCTGGGATTTGGAGGCATGTAGGAAAACACAACCCTAAGAAAGACTATGGTGTTAGATAACTCTGAATATGCCTTAAAAAAACTGAAGTGAGAAGCCAAGACTAGTGGCTGATTTTCTATTCTCCAGCATTTGGGAGACAGAAGCAGGAATATTGCATGAGATTGAGGCCAAGTTTATATCTAACTTTAATTATAGAGTAAGACCTCTCACTCCCACAGCTCTTCAAAAAATTTGAAGGACATCTGTGTGGGTGTCCACTGAACCCTGATAGCCACCAATATCTGTATCAGTTAAACTGCGTAGTTATGCCAGATTGGCATGGCAGACTGTGGAGGAAGGGACACGCACATATTGATGCAGACATGCTTAAAGTGAGCCTCCTGGATAAGACAGGGGTGTTTGCAGGGCTTAGAATACAGACTATTTATCAAGGTGATGAGTGCTCGGGAGGCATAGGATTTCACAGAAAGGTAGGTTGTGTCTGTGGGCTGGATGGAAAGTAGATGCTTTGAAGAACGGGCTTCTGGAGCAGCAATAAAGATGTCAGGATCACAGAATAGCACTGAGCCATCAGAAGCCAAATGAGATTAATTATTGTTATGGGTGGCTCCCGTGAGTCCTGATTTGTTATTTGTAAAGATGGTCCATCAAATAGGTTAATTTAAAAGCTTTCGTGTGTGTGTGTGTGTGTGTGTGTGTGTGTGTGTGTGTGTGTGTGTGCTCTGAGGGTGAATTCTCAGCAAGTGCTTCGCCTGCTGAGTCATCTTTTGAGCCCCAAAATGTGGTATTTTTAATGATAAGACAGAGTAGAAGCTATCAAAGTATATAATTGGTGGAGTAGGGGCTGGAGAGATGGCTTGGTGGTGAAGAACTCTTGATGCTCTTACAGAGGATCCTGATTCAGTTCCCAGAATCAACACGGTGGCTCACAAACATCCATAACTCCAGTTCCAGAGACCCAAAGCCCTCTTCTGACATTCACAGGCACCAGGCATGTACGTGGAACACATACATGTAAGAAAAAACATTAAATTAAATCTATATATCATTCCTGGAGAAAGAATAATTGCTGACTAGAAAGTTAAAGGGTAGTGTCTCTATTAACAGTCAAAATATCTTTACTCTGTTCCAGACACATTGCTCTGCTGCTGAATTATAGAACCAGATCCCTCTGAATTTTTGTTTGGAAGTGGCGTCACTGAGTTGCTCAGGCTGGCTTTGAACTCACACTGCAACCCAGGCAGATGCTGAACTTTCTATTCCCCTGCTGCTGCTTTCCAAATAGCTTGATTGACAGACTTGAGTCATGCGACCTGACAGTCAAATTCTTTGCCTGGTTTTCAGCCTGATACACATTTAGTCCCCTCAACCGAGAAGACCTGGGTATCCCTATAGAAAAAGATCCTAAAACACCAGTCCGGGCGGCTTACCAGTGCCCCCACTTCTTTCCCAACGCAACTTGTAAAGTTATTCACATTAGAGAACTGTGTACTGATGCCAGGGCCAGGCCCATGCCTTTTGACCACTGTTGGGTAATACTTCCACATTGACAATTGTTTGGATGACTTAAAATGACATAGTGGTCTTCTCTAGGTTTTTAAGAGCTTTAAAAACTCTTATGTGGGGCTGGAGAGATGGCTCAGTGGTTAAGAGCACTGACTGCTTTTCCAGAAGACCTGAATTCAATTCCTAGCACCCACATGGCGGCTCACAACTGTCTGTAGCTCCAGTTCCAGGGGACCTGACACCCGTGGCAAAACACCAATGGACATAAACAAACAAAAAACAATAACCCTGCAAAAAAAAAAAACCACCCCAAATCCTTTTTGTATGTATGAATGCCTTGCCTGCATGAATGTCTGTGTACTGTACGTATGCCTGGTACCTGCAGAAGACAGATGGGAGGGTAAGATCCACCGGATCTGGAGTTATAGATGATTGTGAGAGGCCAGGTCAGTGCTTGGAACTTCCCCTGGGCCCTCTGAAAGAGCAGCCACTGCTTTTTAACCACTGAGCGATCTCTCCAGACCCCAATAATGATCTCTTAGAGGAAGAGGGACATGGGAAGTGAGTGACAGATGAAGTGCTGGCCAAGGTGGGCCACATAATGAGTGCACTGTGTCCACGGACACACGCAGTGGTAATTTCCACTAAAAGCATAACAATGTCACTAACAGCAGCTGAGCTGAATCCCCACGTGCTGTAGAATAAGAGCTATCAAGGAGGAAAAGCCAAGTGGAAGTCTTGGAGCCATCTCCTCCAATGTCAAGAAAATATCATAGTGAGGAAATGGCAGATATGACTACCACTTTCACAGTCAGCAAGTATGCAGGAGTCGGGGTCCTCATAACACATCAAAGAAACCAAGAGTCCTATTGGATCAACTGGCTGGATCAAAATGACAATAATATCTCACAAAGGGCTCGTTACTTCACTTAGTAATGGACTCAATTACAAAAGCCCATGTCAGGTGTGTTTTATTAGAAAAGACT